TGACTGCACTCATTTGTGGAATATAAAGTAGCGTAATATAAGACTAACCCTTATGGGCAGTAGAGTTAAGGGCCAGAATGATCACACCATGGTTTAGAAGCCAGCCCCACGTGCTGAGGGAAAAGGCAGTTGGGACGGAGAAGGGACCACTAAGTAAATGGTGATTGGAGGAATCACCCATGTGCTGAAAATAAACCAAGGACCAAACACAATTACCTCTTAGTATCTGCATCACAAATCACAATGCCCAAAATTAGAGAGAGAGTAAGAAGGACTGTACCTGCCACAGAGACAGGGAGTGGGGTAAGTTGGGGTTGGCGTGTGGGACACTGGAAGCAGTGATGATGGAAAATATGCTCTGGTGGAGGGATGGTTACTCGAGCATTGTTTGAATGAAATGCAATCATGCAAGTTTGTAACTATCTCACAGCAATCCAATAAAACTTGCTTAATAGAAAAATAAAATAAAAATAAAATACAATAAAAATGTTTTGTTTGAATATTATCTGCAATATACTATTGTGAACTATTTTATGAAAATAAAATATATAAAATTGTTAAAAAATAAAAAAAAAGTTTAAAAATCTCCAAACATGACTTACTGCCTATCTAAAATAAGGATAATAAAATCACATAAGATAATATTTATAAAAATTTTAGTGTGGGTATCATATAATATGTACCCCAAATGTAGCTATGAATATTATTGTGTGTCAATGACGAACAATGTTATTCTTTATGATAGGTATAGAGGCTGTTAAGAAAAAAAATTACCAATCAATATAGTACTATGACACGATCCAAGTGTACCACGTGTTAAATGGCAGGAAATTTCTTATTTTGACTTTTTGGGCCACACCCCTCAATGTACAGGGGTTACTCTTGGCTCTGTACTTAGGAATTACTCCTGGTGATGCTCAGGAGACCAGATGGGATGCTGGGGATCGAACCCGGCTTGGCCATGTGCAAGGCTAACATCCTGCCTGCTGTACTATCGTTCTGGCCCCATGGCAGGAAATTTCTGCAATCTGATGTTGGTCTGTGTAAGGACAGTTGAAAACCACTGAATTACCCATGGTTTTTTGCTTTCGTATAGCACAGTGGTAGGGCATTTGCCTTCCGTACAGTCAGCCCGGCCAAGCCGGGTTTGATTCCTCCACCCCTCTCGGACAGCCTGGCAAGCTGCCTAGAGTATCTCACCCCCACGACAAAGCCTGGCAAGCTACCCGTGATATATTCAATATGCCAAACGCAGTAACAACAAGTCTCACAAAGGAGACGTTACTGGGCCCATTAGAGCAAATTGATGAACAACGGGAGGACAGACAGACAGGACAGGTATACAGGAATTTAATAAGCAATAAAATATTTACTTACATGGCAAATTTCTCTAATAAATATTTAGGGATATTTACATAGATATTCTTCCCCAAGTTTGGAACTTTTACATAATTATGTTTTTAGGTATATATCCTCACTGTCCAAATAAGCAATCATTATTCTTATGAAACAAAATGAACTATTAGTGCTTATTAGGTCTGAGATGATGTATAAAATAGGAATAATATAAATCTCAATGTTTAGAATGATCAATGTGTGGTGTATAAAATATGTTTTATATAGTGCCTCTGGTTACTGTATTTAGACAATAATTAGCAAAAATTTTTTTTATAAATTTGCCAGTATCTGGATAAGTGATAAAGAAACATTTTTAATAAAAACACATTTTAATAAAAATTTTAATAAAAATACATTTTTATTAGAAGCTGCAAGAACACATGAGCCCAAACCTAGAAAAACATTCTTAATAAGAAATTTTTTTAAAGAAGTATAGAAATGATCCCTGAAACTATAGTCTTGTAAGCAAATTTTTGGAAAAAAAATCAGTACTAAAGTAGGCACAAGCAAGAGCTAGGTTCAAAATGTTTAACAAATCACATGAGCAACAAGTACCACATAATATTAGAGATCAATATAAAGACCTTTGTTCATCCGTTCAGCTGCTGGCTCATTAAGTGACACATGATTCTTAAAAAATAGCCAGAGCAGTGATTTTCTTTCATCATGGTGGAAATATTTGATAGGTTGAGGATGAAAACTTTATAGAAGTTGGCACCAAAATATTTCAACGTATTTGATGGTAAATGGTATGCTGATAACTAAAATTCTGAGTACAAAATTCCAAATAACAATATTAATATTATTATTAACAAGCCAATCAGGCAGATATACCAGGACAGATTGTCTACAATTATACACTTACAATATTCATAATTCTAATGTTTAATTGTGGTGATTTTGTTCACTGATTTTGCATAAAAAGGAATGAAAAATAAGTAGAAAAATCATAATTGAATTTTTGCTAATACTTAACATTATTGTCTACCACAATGTTTAATAAACATGTGTTCAATAACTAAAACAGCAGTAGTCTCTTGTAGCGCCTTGGAGATCTGCTCAAAGTTGGAGCTGGTTCGATATAACTTGACTTATTGGATAACAATTTATAAGTTTTAAATAAGGGAAATACAAATATCTGCTACAATTACATGGCTCCCCTTACTTATATGGCTGAATTCCTAAAAGAAAAGGGTACAACCACACAAGTCTACTGGTATTCTAAGGGACTCATTAAACTTTTTTGATGTTTCTCAGTCTATTAGGTAGTTGTGGATTCGTTTGCAATTGTAGTGAAACATTAATTTAAGGAAATAACCTTCCTCTGAACTTCAGTTATTCTCAGATAAAACCAAGATCTTATGACAAATTGTTACTCATGACGTTGTCTCTGTTCATTTGGAGAGTAAAAACAAGAACTAAATTATAATACTGTAAGCTACAGATTTCTCATCTATAATAGAAATAGCAGAACAATTCAAAGAATTAGCTGCTCATAGCAATGAGTCTAATTTTAATTGATATTAATATGCCTAAATTTGGATCTCATTGTCTGTATATACTTAAATATAATTATTGAAAGTCTATTTCATAACATTGTAATAAGTGATGCTGTGTGTCACACTGATTATTAAACCAACAAAGTAAGAGCATTATTAGATATTTGAAGTATAAAGAAAATAATTCACCAACATGAGTTTTACTAATATATATGCTGCATATAATATTCATACATATTATATATAATAAAATTGCTTGATCCAGTAATGCTGCTTAAAAACATTCAATTCATTTTATAAAAGATACATTTTTGTTTGTTAACTCAATGAAATGTACACGTTTGGCAATATACGACAATGTACACAAATTTCTTTTGGTATTCACAAGACTAATTGATGTTTACAAAAGCCTTATACATTAAGATTTTCATAATATAGCTATTTTAATGATGGATATGAATTAGGGTCATGGGAAAATATGTTAGGGTAAGAAGTAATACATATAAAAGGAGATAATCCAGGGGAAATTTTTTTTATCAGATCAAGGAAATGTGACGATGAAAATAAAGTAAGGATTACATAATAAGAAAGAACCAAATGAGAGCAAGAAGGTAACTCGCTACAAAAATTTTAATCAAGGGGCTGGAGCATAATAGCACAGCGGGTAGGGTGTTTGTCTTGCTTGCAGCCGACTCGGGTTCGATTCCCAGCACCCCCATATGGTCCCCTCAGCACCACCATGAGTAGTTCCTGACTGCATGAGCCAGGAGTAACCCCTGCGCATCTCTGGGTGTGACCCAAAAATTAAAAAAAAATAATCAGAAATCAAACAGATAATTGGAGGGGACTATATGATTACTAGTGAACAAATCTCATAATATGAAGCAATAACAAGTGTATAATTTGATACCATATCATTATAATTTTATTTACTTAGTTTTAGTTTAGAGGCCACACCATGACCTGTGGATTTTAGGGCTTATTCCTAGCTCTCTACTTAAGGATCACGTCTGGAAATTCTTCAGGGACCATATGGCAAGGATTGAACCCAGGCTGACACTTGCTCGAGCTCGAGCGGGCCCAGTAACATCTCCATTGGAGACTTTGTTGTTACTGTGTCTGGCATATCGAATACTCTCGGTAGCTTGCCGTGCTCTCCGAGAGGGGCGGAGGAATCGAACTCGGGTCGGCCGTGTTGGCCGCTTGTAAGGCGAACGCCCTACCCGCTGTGCTATCGCTCCAGCTCCAGGCTCCAGGCTGACACTAAGCAAGATAAATGCCTTACCCGCCATACTACCTCTCCAGCACTCATTTTATGATTCAAGCAAATATATGTACCAATAATTTTAATAAATTTATGAAGTGAATGAACTGCTAAGTATGATGTCTTGCTTCTAATAATGCAATAAATCATACAATACTTTGTATATCCTTCATTAATAAATTTAGTTTGTTCATTATGCTAAAAATACCTACTTTTTCTATTTCTAAAAATAACCACACAGAACTAGTAATGCAAAATGTTCATTTTGTCTGAGAAAAGTTCAAAAACATCAAGCTCCAGTAATAATGTTCTCTTTTATTCCTTGGACTATTATTCAAAATTTCTTTATAATATCATTTAAGTCTAAATTTCTTTGAAATTTTTCCTTAGAATACCTTGTTGATCAGTTTAAATGCTACTTACATTGAAATTAAGAATATTAGTATTAAAACCCTACTTATATGGCTTTAGAAGTTTCTGTGGAGAAATAAATGCTACTATCTGATAATGCTACTAGGTTTTTTGGTAACTAATATAGTAATATACTCCTCACTTTTTAATGGCTTTGTAGTAAATAATGTTGATGAGGGTACAGTAAAAATATTTGAGATGCTTGTAACATATATGTGGAATAAACAAACTTTAATATGGCAACCATTAAAGATAGTAGAACAATTATAAATGGCATTAAAAACGGTCACAAAACTTCATTATTAAAGTTATCTGTTACAAGAATTCAGATGTGCCACTGGTCAAGTCATTTATCATAAAAAATGTAGAAAACACATACCAAAGACGGTCTGAAGTCAACCAGAGAAGATAACTGCTATTGCAGACTTTCAAATCAGTTCACCCATGGTTTGTAGATATGATACATGTTCCCTGCTTTTCTGGTTTGATATTTGTAAGTTAGGAGTACTGAATTTCGAACTAATTCCATGGGGAAAGTTTTGGAAAGAACATACTGATAAAGAATATGGGAAATCTTCATCAACTATGTATGTCTCTACGTTTTGCTCTTGAAAGCTTTGAAGGCAGATCTGATTTACATTATTCATTAGCCAATTTGAAGCCATAATGTTGGTTATAGAACTACACCTGATGAGGTTTTCTTCCAAAACTTGTTTGTAGAGTTCATCCACTTTTTCCCTTACATAACTGTTAAGCAGAGAGTTGGAGAAGGGCTGATTATAAAACAACATACTCTTTTCTCTAATTTCATCCCCAATTATATTCTTTGAGGCAATTAATTTCTCCAGAGATTCAATTGTAGGAGTATTACACCATGGTATATCTATTGAAAGTAAAATAGACAAAGTGTCATCCTGTATATGTTCTACAAAACAATCCAAATCACGCATGTTACCTACATAGTCTCCTCCAATATGTAAATCAGGATAATTCTGGCAAATACTTGTACATGACCAAGATCTGTATAAGTCCAGTTGTTTTCCATCATATTGTTCTCTCTTTGGAATGGGTAATGCAACAGACACATTTTCTGGAAGGGATTCACTTTTACATTTTGATAAGGTCATTTCATCCAGAGCTTTTATTTTATTGGTATCATTACTTTGTTTGATTAAGATTTCTTTCACAAACTTATCTTGTTTTCCCATTTTGTCAGGGAGAATTGAATTGTCTTTAGTGTCTAAAATGTCTTCAGTAATAAAAAGTTGATTTTTCCAATTATCCTTTTCATCATCTGAAATCTTCTTACATGTAAGCTCTTTATAAATTTTTGTATATTTCTGTTCTTTGAATAGAAATTCAATTAGAAAGGCTTCTCCAAGCATTTTATTGACAAGTTTTCTAAATCAAGGAGTGTAATACAATCCTGTAATGTAAAATAATCCATTAAGTCAACATACATGATAAAGTTAGGTAAAAATTTATCTCTTACATGAAATATAAGTGATTTATAAAAGGAGCATAATTCAAAGGATGGAAAATAAAACCAAGATTAAGTCCACTTGGCATCCAATTTTGCCATTTACTTTTTTTCTTCTTTTTTTATGTTTTTATTAGTGAAACACCATGAGGTACAGTTATAGACTTATAAATTTTTGTGCTTGGGTTTCATAGACCATTTACTTTTTAATATTAAGCAATATATATTCCTGATCACCAATTTTCCTATATACCACTGCTTTTACTCAGGGTACTTTTAAGATGTTATATGGTGTACATATAATAATTGTATTTGGAAGGAAAAACTCAAGTAAACATAAAATTATCTTAGCATAATGTACTCAACTATCAAAAATTATTTGTCAAAATTATTAAATTGACTAACTGTATAAAATTAAGATAGTTATGGATTTTTTTGTCACTTTAATGACATTGTTTAACAAGGGAAAATTGCTGCATCTTAGAGAAAATGCATAAAAAATTTAAAAAATGAGTGCATAAAAGGTTATATGTAGTTTAGACTACATTTTTTGATTTACACGTGTCAAATTAATTTTTAAATAATTTCTATTAAAATTGCTTTGTCAAATCCATTGCCATCTTTTTGTCCTTTTCTTTATTTCTTTTCTCTCCCCTCTCCTGTCCATTCATTCTTTACTTTTGGATTTACATATTACTTCCAAAAGCACTCATTTCAGTCATTTACAATGCTAACAATTAATTCATTATCATTTTAAGATTACAGTTTTTTTCTATAAATGTTACAAGGTGCAAAAGCAGAAAGCAGATTTAACCGAATACTCAAATTTACCTTTTTATAGGTCTATTATATACTACACACATTGCCAATAATTCTGCTTATTTATTTTAAATGCGTTTGGGAAAATATAGTGATACCAATCAAAATATTAAATGCCTTACACTTACCTTTACTGACTGTCAGAAAACTTCCAGAATAAGTCTTCTGAAATAATTTTTGTGGGGTTACACCAAGTGGCGTAGAACTTTTGCTTAAGGATCACTCCTGGCAGGGCCTACAGGATCACATGGAATGATAAAGATCAAATCTGGGTCGGCTGTGTGAAAGGCAAGCACCCTGCCCACTGTACTATTGCTCTGACTCCTATTCTGAGATTTTAACTATCCAGATACTACAAAAGTCCCTTTTGGCTAGTTTCATTTTCACACTTCACTTACACTTCAGAAAGATACTTTTAACCACATAATAAAAGTGGTTCTGCTTTCCATTCATTTTCTATGACTGAATCAAACCAGTGGGAATATGATGTGGGTTGTTCGTAAATATGGTAATGATCATATATCAAAAGAGGACCTTGAAAGTGTTTATCTAAGATGCAAGTTACATTTTGAAAGTGTTAGTAGTGATATATTTTAAAATTTTCACTCAAGCAAAGACAGAAAATGTTATTTTATTTTTAAAGTAAAAACAACATAATAATTGAAAATTTTTAATTATGAATAATTTATGTTAGTGATGAATAGTTGAAATAGCTTAACTGGCTATCAATAAGACAATGGCTATATAAATTATAGTATATATGTTTCATGGGACACTAGCTGAACATTTTAATGATAGAATGTTAATAGGCTCCATAGAGTAATTATTACACAATTGCAGTTCTAATTATATGACAGATAATACATAATTTAAAATAAAGGCATTATCTCCATTTTCAGAGAAATAAAGCAGGTTATATATTTGTTGAAGAGCACAAATTTAGTAACTACCAGAACTAGATTTTGTCCTGAGCAGCTGGTTTTAGAATGCATGCTTTATTATACCTCTATATGTACTCATACAAGTTTTGAAACAAAATATACAGTAAAGTACATCATATACTAAGTGTGTACAATGTGTCAGGCACTTTTTTCTAAATACATCATATACATAGAAATGATTGAATTCTCATAATATCTCCATACCAAGAAAGAGGGATTTAATGTTGATGGGGAATGAAGAAGTGAACATAAAGACACTGATAGAGGATCTTGGACACTTTGGTTATGGGGAGGTGTGATAACTGTGTACATCAAAATCACAAATGTTAACACTATCATAAACAAGTAACATGAACGATACTAACTAAATAACAAAATTATTAAAGATATTATCATTGTGTGATTGTAACCCAAACATGAAAGCTTGTAACTATCTCAAGGTGATTCAATAAAATTTTTAAAAAAGATATTATCATCCTAATTTTATCTATGTGGAAACTGAAAAACAGAGAAACTAGATATCTAAGATGCTCATTATCACATAATTTTAAGTGTTAGTTTGAGTTTGAATTCAGGCAACTGACTGAAGGCCTGCGTGTTTAACTTTTCTGCAATAACTGACTTCTTCCTCTTTTGAATGCTCTATAGAAATTATCATATTAATGGGAAAATATACCACTTAAACTGTTAGTAGTGCAGCAAAAGTAAAGAAATAATTTTACTTTTTAACTATTATGTCCTTATATCCTTATTGTTTGAATTTTACAACAAGTGTGTATTTGACTATGAATTGCATGTATGTGAAATAGATAACTCCTATATATAAAATGACAAAAAAAACCTGTACTACTTCCTTTAAAATGTATTTACTCCATCTCACAAAATATCTGTTTCATTATGTAAAAAAAATTTAAATGCATAAACTGCCAAAGTAGACTGGAACAAAAATCATATACACTATAACACCTTAAGCTACAGTTATCAATGTTGTTAATTTAGAGTTTACACCAAAAATATTACAGCATCTAGAGGGATAGTAGTGTGGGCAGGGCACTATGTATGCAGCCAACCCGGGATCAATCCCCAGCACCCTGTATGGTCCCCTGAATCGCACCAGTAGTGATACCTGAATGTAGAGCCAGGGGTAATCCGACCAGATGTACACTACCAGATGTGGCAGGAAAAAGTTTGCAAACATAAAACACTGTAGCACTGTCCTCCCATTGTTCATCTATTTGCTCAAGAAGGCCCAGTAATGTCTCCATTGTGAGACTTGTTACTGTGTTTGGCATATTGAATAGTCACGGGTAGTTTGCCAGGCTTTGCTGTGTGGGCCAGATACTCTCGGTAGCTTGCTGGGCTCTCTGAGAGGGGTAGAGGAATCAAACCTGGGTCAGTCGACCTGGCCACGTGCAAGGCAAACACCCTACCCGCTGTGCTATTGCTCCAGCCTTAGACATAAAACAAGTTCATTTTAATTTTTCATGCCTCAAAAGCCAATTTCTTTTTGGTTATCATGCATGTCTTTTTGTAATAAACAGTTCATTCATTTATCTTAGAACCAAGAAAAATGATTCACAGTAAATGTGAAAATATGTCACAGTCTTATGTCAGAAAGATAATGAAACCAATTACTTGAAAAATAGCCCTTCTATCACAAGGAAAAATTGAAACAAAAGTAAAGATCTGTTTTTAGTCTGTTTCTAGCCTATTCCATCTCCTTTGTCTCTCTCATGCCTATAACCATTGATCCAAATTCTAACAATCCCCTGAACTTAATATTTCTACCTTTCACTTCTGTCATTACAAGTTCATTGGTTGCTGTGGTTGTTTCTAAATTTTCTCCCTTTCAAAATCACTTGACATTTTATATACCTATATCTATACATGCCCACCTTTCACATAAATCTGTTAAATTCTTAATTTAATTCCAATAATATGTGTATTAATGATAAGAATATATACTAAATAAGACATCGTTGCTTCATTTCAGATTTACAAAACATCTTCAAGTTATTATTTACCATATTTTTGCAAAAACAATCCTTGGAAACACTAAACATCAAATATTATGTGAAATATGAAAAGCTATGTTCTTTCCATTTTATTTTTCCAGTTTCCATTTTCTATTCCTTCACTTGCTCCCAAAGTTTCAATCACCATTTTCATTACTAGTCCTCCAATTTGAAATCCAATTATTTTTTTTCCTTTCCTGGCAGACTGCATATTCTTTAAAGTTTTGATTTTGCTCTTTCTTCCCCAGGGAATCTTGCCTTGACTCGCACAGCCTTGTTTAGAGTTCTCTGCATTGCAATTATCTCATTTTATTAGTCATTACTGCGAATTTCTTGAGAGTTAATGTCTTATCTTATTTATAGATTTTATTCTTCCCAACTACTGTAGAGTGTGGCACTTATCAATAATTTTATTTTTTAAACTAACTTCATTTTAGACCATCTGCCAAACACTTTCACATACTCAACTCATTTATTTCTCACAACAGTGCTGTCAGGTGGGTATTTCCATTCTTTTTGTTAATAGATATTTTTACATTCATACGGAAGTATATTGCTTAAGATTCATAATTGTTGTCAGTCTCATGGAATCCAAATTTGCCTAACATAAAAGATGATATTTTGCTGGGGTTCTTTGGCCATTGACCAGGTTTTTTTTTGCAAACTCCCCAAATTATGTAAATATTATAACTATTTTCAACTTTTGTGAAATATTAAAACTCAGAAATAAAGACTGGAAAAATGAGACATGAATGCACTTAAAAGAAATAAAATATAAAATTGTTGTGTTGTCTTTTTAACATGGGGTAGATTGTAGTATGTAGCGGAAAGGAAGTTCTAGGAGAGACAGACACAGAGAGAGACAGAGAAAGGGAGGGGAAGAGAGAGAAAGAGAGAGAGAGAATTTCATGCATGGTCAGCTCCCAGAAAGAAAGAATGCCAAGCAAAACTCATTTTCAAGAAGTTAGACAGATGCCATAGAGGAAGGCTGAGGTGAGAGTGGCTTAAAAGGGTGGGAAGCAGGGTGGGAGAAGCATGCTAAAAGTAGTCTATAGACCAAACATGATTGCCACTCAATGCCTCTCTTGCAAAACACAGTACCCAAAAGAAGAGAGAGAGAACAAGGGGGA